ACCAGAAAGGATCAGGGGCAACACCGCCCCCCCCCAAATTAGTAAAAATTTGTTTACTGGAGAATAACAGTTTAAAAAAAAAGACAAAAAATTTTAAATCACCTTTAATGCCAACACCTAGAAAAAAGACATTTTTATTTTGTTTGTTTGTTTTCGAGACAGGGTTTCTCTGTAGCTTTGGATTCTGTTCTGGAACTAGCTCTTGTAGGCCAGGCTGGTCTTGGACTCACAGAGATCCACCTGCCTCTGCCTCCTTTAGTGCTGGGATTAAAGGCATGCGCCACCACCGCAACTGAAAAAAAAATTATAATATCTTTCCAGAATTAATTCTATTCGAGGATATACATAAACATGTTGAGTCGGGTTGATAGGTATATATCGTATTATAATCTGCTTTTTAAGATTCACTTTATTCTTAATTATGTATATGCTGTGCACATGTGTGTGTGCCCACAGAGACGAGGAGGACACCAGTCCCAAGCAGTTGTGTGTTGCTAGAGTGCGGGCGCAGGGAACTGAACTTGGGTCCTCTGCAAGAGTGTCTTTACAATATGAGTCTAGTCTCTTAATATGATTACAAAGCCTCCCATAAGGATAACTCCAAGACTTACCTAGCATCTTAAATATATTCAAAATATCCACGAATGAAAATGAAATATGTGAGGTGCGGGGTGGGGTGTAGCTGGGTGGCGGAAGGCTTGCCTAGCATGCAGAAGGCCCCAGGCTATGCAGTAACATTCTTATGGAAAACCTTCCTGATCTTTTGTGATAATTTCCTTAAGAAATTATCTGCACTACTGGGGGCAGAGTCTTTGAAACCCAACGTCGAGCTGTACTGATTCTTCTCCACGGCAAAACCTCACTAGCATTGTGTGTCATTTACTAATGTTTTGTTTATTCTTACAATGTTCCCAGTTGTGAATAAATTGCTCTGATGTTTATTTCTCTTATTGCTTACAAAATTTAAATTGTTTTTAGGTGTTGATGGGTTTTCCTTTTGTGAGTAGTCCGTATCCTTCACTGTCTTGAGTAGCTTGAACTTGCCCCCCTCATTATAATTCTCATTTAACAATATAATTCTTTACCACATACATTGAAAACATTTTCTGGTTTGCTAGTTCCCGTCTGATCTTTAGCCACATCAAAAGGATCTTTGTTTTGTCTGGGCTCATGCCTTTCCTTCTACTCGTACTAACAAAGTGCAAAACCTCACGGCTGTGGGTGGAAATGGTGGGGAAGCAGAATGGCAGGACCCTCAAGGAGATGTCCCTCCATCACTACCAAGGCCACTCGGGGTGCTCATGTCAGTCCTGTGGAGCTGACGATACGGGTCACAGGTATTCAGGCAAACATTACAATGTGTGTTTCTGTGGTGTGTCCTGGGTAGAGTCCATGTTTTGTTGGGCCATGGAGGTCCTTGCGCTCACAGATAATGCTAGGTAAACCGGGAGTGCTAACAAGTGGGGTTGTCTATCTATAGGACCAACCTTCAGGGAAGAAGTGACATGTGCTTTGAGAAGAGCTTTGAGGCACTTATGCCTCCTAGTGCATAGGAGATTGTATTACACCAGGAAACTTTTATCCAAGTTGTACTGCGCTTAAATACGAAATAAAATAAACTGCCCAGTGTTGCTCTAGATATTTGAACCGACACTGTCTGCTGGGTCAGGCTGAACTAGACTTTCTTCATTCACACGAATGGTCCTCTACTTTACCCTCCTGACCCTGGTGTCTGTAGAGACCTCCAGTGTTTGGTGGCCCTCTCCAGGTAGATGGCCTCATCCAGGCAGTTGAAGGCCTAATAAAGGATGGTTCACACCCTCTCCTCTACAAGGTGAGAGAAGCTTCCTCCTCCTTGGTGGCCTTGGAACAGGCTCATTGTTCTCCTAGCCCGAAGAGCCACACCACCAGCTTTCCAGGGCTCCTGGGACTCTGGCGTGGGGCGGGGGCTATAGATGTTGGCAAATGCCAGCTTCTGGATTTACACGGGCCAGATTTCAATCATGATGGCTCCACAAACAAATTTTTTTTTCAACTTCAGTGTGACACAGAAGGTAGACATGTACCCACTGGGTTCTTCACTCTCAGCCCAGTGTGTAAGAGGCTCCACGAGGTTTCCACACTGCATCACTCGGTAGCTTTGCGTTGGGTATTCCGTACAGCTGTAGACCAATGTAAATAATCATGGATGTGACTGGCAAGGCTGAATTGGGATGGTCGGCAGGTTAGGGGTAGTCAATGTGTTGGTAGCATAAATGATATTTTCTCTGATTTTGACTATCTTAATTTTTTTATTTATATTATTTAACCATTTCATGTGTGTAAATAATGTGCTTTGGCCATTTCATCCCCATTACCTTCTCTTACCCCTCCTACTCCTGTTGAGCCCCCCCTTTCTTCCCAACAAGCCTGCTCCCTATTTTCCTACTTTCTGGCTGACTTTCTGCCTGTGACCCTGAGTTGGATCAGCATTGCCTGCGTGCTCAGGGTGGGGGTAATTTACTGGACCACTGGCCACTTCTCATGACTGCACCAGTGAGGAAAATGTCTTCCCTTCTCCAGCAACGTTAACCAGCAAGAGCTGACCTGTACAGTCAGCTCCACCTTAGTCTAATATTATTCCAAACACAAATCATTAATAGTCTCTTCTTTTGCCATTAGTTTGGTATCTGCAAAGTTAACGAGCACAGTCCGTATTCTGCGGTTTCTGGCCGGTCCAGCAGAGGTAGGTCCACTCTGGGACCCAGTGCTGTACAACTAGACCCCTAGCTCACGGACACCTGTAACTAATGGTGACACTGCCTTACAGAGACCTTAACTGCGTGCCCTTCAACCTCCCATCTGGAGTTCTCTGGCAGGAAGCTGGCAGACAGATGGCCGCTCTTCCAGAGGGCCCAGGTTTGAGTCCCAGCACCCGCAGGCAGGTTGCAACTGTTAGTAACTCTAGTTTCAGGGGACCTTCTATCCTCTTGTGGCTTCTGAGAGTATTGCATAAACGTGATACACAGACATACTCACAGATAAAATATACACACATAAAATAATTTTAAGAATTAAAAACCTGCAGTTAAAAGCTCTTGCACCTCCCCCCCCCCTCCAGTTCCAGTAGCAATTAGAGAAGACACATTCCTATCCATCGGGCCGTTTCTGTTTTGTCATACAATTGATTTTTAAATTTCTAGTTATCTATCTATCTATCTATCTATCTATCTATCTATCTATCTATCTATCATCTATCAATTTCTTTATTTTTTCAAGACAGGGTTTCTCTGTGTAGCCTGGGCTGTCATAGAACTCGCTCTGTAGACCTGGCTGGCCTCAAACTCAGGGATCTGCCTGCCTCTGCCGCTGCCTCCTGAGTGCTGGGAATAAAGGTGTGTACCACCGCCATCCATTAAATTTTTATATAAAAACTGTTAAATATTTTGATCATATTCTTTCCCTTTCATAAGTCCTCCCACTTCACTACCCACCTAACTTCACGCTTTTTCTTTCTCTCTAAAACAAAAATAAAAACAAGAAACCAATAAAAACAACAAAAAAAAATCCTAAAAAAACAAAACAACCTCCCCCCAAAACAGTCAGACAAAAAAATTACCAAAGCAAAATTGCACAAAAAAACCATGGAGTTCACTTTGTGCCAGCCAGCTGCTCTTGGGCACAGGGCTTGCCCTGGAGTGCGGCTGATACACCCAATGACACTCTTGGAGAAAATGAGTTTTCCTTTTCCCAGCAGATACCAATTGCAAATAGTTTCTTAGTCAGGGGTGGGACTCTGCCCACCTCTCCTCAGTGCTGGGACTATGCCTGCTTTGAACCTGTGCAGGCCTTGTATATGCTGTCAGCTCTGAGTTCATACGTGCATCAGTCCCGTCGTGTCTGAAGATGCTGTTCCAGCAGGTGCTTTCTCCAGTGAGGTGCTGAGGACAGAGAGCAGACACACAGCCCAGCCGGAGCAGCTGACCATACCTGGACTCCATGCTGTCTGGTCTGAAGCTTTTCCCTGCTCCCTGCACTGTGGAGTTTACTGTTTGCTTCTGCAGTGCCTAGGGCAGCTCCTCCAGAATTAAACTTCATGATGAAGTTAAGGCTGAGAGTTCCGTGCCAGCAGGTATAACAGGGATGCTGGGGGACAGGGGTGCCCTAGGGGGAGCATCAGCCCACAGGTTGGGTGACTGTCAACAGAGTCCTCTAGACACTACAGGAGCTGGGAAACAGAAAGCAGCGGTCCATCCCCAACAGATACCTGCGTTCTACTTACATGAGATAAAGCGCAGGTGGACCCTGTATACTTTATGTGGCATCTGCTAGTGACGCTTTCAGAGATCTGAACTGCACAGAGTGACAATTATGCTGTGGTCAAACTGGCTTTTCCTTCTCTGACCCAGATTGCACTTTGGAACATTAGCCTATCAGAAGAATGAGAATCCAGGAATGGCTAGTCTTACTCAAGAATAGAAAAGATTTTAAATAAAACAGAATTTCAAAAGCACTGGTAACATTCATGTTTTCCTGGGCACAGCCTGCCAGTCTTTGTGGAGCTGTGAGAAGGGCCAGCAAGCCCTAGCTAGGTGGCACTGGGGACCCTGTTGGCCACATGTGGGAAGCCCAAGCCAGGAGGCCCTTCCCCCCCACCTCCTCATTTCACCAGACTCAGACTGAGAAGCATTTGCTCTGCCTTTCAGCAGTGAAATGGTGTGAACCAGAGCAGCAGAGCCCAGCTTATCCGGTCACACACACCGCCACGGGATGGCACATGACAGGGATTCAAATTCTTGGTTGCTGTGGGCCTGGGATTGGTGAACAGCTCCAGGCGCAATGGTGAGACATGGCACCACGGCCTTCATCCGCACTCAGAGAACAGATTGCGGAGTCTGAGAAGCATGGCGCCCAGAGTTAGCACTACCATCTGTGCAGGCTACAGTGAAAAATGGATTAGTAGGGAAACTGTAATCAAGGAATTTTATCTCCATAGCTGAGGTTGAAAATAACACTCACAATAATTTATGAAAAACATTTATTTTGAAGATTAGTATAGTATGTAAGTATTATAGTCTAACTAGAAGTTATGATTTATAATTTAACATAATAGTATGAGCAAATTCTACATTGGAATTTTGTGCAAAATATTTTATGATTAGTCTATGACAACTGCCACTTAAGTAACTACTTGCTAAACAGGACAATGGTTTGATTTTGTTTTGCTACCTCATACTTTAGTAGAGACAACACCCTTCAGACAGCTTCAGTGAGGGAACAGGTTATTCAGCAATGATGGCTCTACAGTCAATAAAGCAAGTTACATTCTCATCGAGTGGGATCAAGTCTCAATCTGGACCCCAAAAAGGCAGCGGGAGCCCTGCAGCTTGGGGTTGGGGCGCAGCCAGCCCTGGCAGGAGAGCTGAGCTCCACACAGGTCTCTCTTGCCACTGCCCCACTTGGCCACATCAGGATCTGAATGAGAAGATGCCCCACATGCTCGGGAGCTCTTCTTATTGTCCCATCTCTGCAGGGTGTCCCACCAGCTCACAGCATCCTCCAACAGCCTCTGTCCCGTGCCTTCTGAAGCCTTGGATCCTAGCATCCCCTTTTCATGACAGGAGCTGGACCATACTGAAAGATCTGTAGGCTAAATTTAATCAGAAAGGGATCCCTCTAAAATTTAAAAAGTGAAGTTTCCTTGCATTGTGCTATGAAAACAAGAAAAGATTTATCCTTGAAAATCTATGTGACATTCAACTTTAGGATCTCGAAGGGTTTTTATGGAGAACTGTGGGGTGGTTCACACTATGTACCCTAGGCTGGTCCCAAACTCCTGGGCTCAGGGATCTTCTAACCTTGGCCTCTGGAACAGCTGTGACTACAAGATGTTCTCAGTGGCATTCACAAAGAAAGCACTGCTTCCTGACAAGAGGCTCGGTGTAGCTCATGTCATCATAAAGGCACTGTGGACAGTCACGACAGACCGTCACAAACACACACACTTCAGGTTATGGACAACGAACAGGAAAGGATGTTTAAATGGAGAGCCAGTTCCTGAAGGCCAGAGTCTCAGCACAGTGGATGAGGTGGACATACCCACTTCCCCAGTTTAGGACCTCAACCTAAGGTTGGGAAGACCTAACCTCGCCTCTCCAGACAGCTGGCAAGCTGGGGCCGAGGTGACCTGGAGGGCTTTGCTGACGCCTGAGAGCAGAAGACGCAGGAGTGGGAAGTGCTATGAGCTGGAGCGAAGAAGAGATGGGACAGTGGGACAGCCACCTTCTCCCTGACACTGCCCACGGAGCTGGGACTTCACGTGGCACATTGTCGCCCCAGCACAGTCTATGTCCTCCTTCACTGCTGACAAGTGCTGGAATTTGGCCACACAGTGAGTTTTGTTAGTGGGAAGTGGCAACGACTTAGGTTTGATTGCAGTTCATCTGTAATTTCCCGGTTTGGGTACAATTTTAAAGATATTGGTTTGTCAGGCATTTAGTAGAGGAACAATTCAGTAGAGGATACGAGGAAGTCATTACAGATATTCCTGGAGAGAGGAGAAAAGGATCCATGTTACTCTGCTATGAGAAAAGCCTTAGAACACAAGTCTGGGGGGACTGAGACTCTCACAAACACTTTCTTTCTTAAGAAAATTCAAAATAGAAAAGAAAGCTACGTGTCCCTAAGAAGCCACAGTGCGGTTTCAACTGAAAATACAGGATCATGCCTTTTCTCATTAATAACAATAAGATGGGGGAGCAGACTGTATATTGTCCAAAACCAAGAGCTAAAAGCAGAGCCATGTACCCAAAGCCATGTAGCAGGAAACCCAAGGGTTGGCATGAAATCTAGAGACCGACGAGCTCATTCCTAAAGCCCAAGAGCAGTGATCCAGCTGATCCAGCCTAAGCTGAGGAGAGCCGCAGCAACCTCCAGAAGAAGACAGCGCACTGACCTGTGATTTTAACCGACTTGATATTTCTCCACCTTCTAAAGAAGACTAGGGTTCAGTTCCAGGGGATCTGATACCCTCTCCTGGTCTCTGTGGGTACCAGGAACACATGCAGTACACATGCTGGAAAGCGCTCACACACATAAAACAAAAATACATAAATCTAAAAGGCCAGCCTAACACTTCCTGTAGCTTACAGATTGATAGAACTTTCCTTTGTGGACTTTATTCTAAATTCATTCGAACTCCAATAAATTAGCAAAACGACATGAAAACACCTAACAATGTAAGTAACCACAAAGTGCAAAAAAAGCCACTTAATGCAAAGGTCTGTAATTATAACAGACTCCTCAGTGTGCAGATGGAGACAAGTAATAGTCTGTCTCAGAAGACCTGGCACATCAAGTGCTGAGAAAGCACGGGACATGTGCCATTGACCCCAGCCTGTCCATCACGTGGTATGTCACGATCACTGCGTGTTTTTCAAAAGAAGCTCATTTTGCTTGGTGATACAGCTCAGGTGTCAAGCTTACTGAGCATGTATGTACAAAAATGTCCAAAAGAAAAAACAGCCTTCAAAAATGTTTTCAGAGACCCAAGTGAGCAACGCAATCTACATTCTGAATCATTGTTTGAAATAAAATGAGATTTTATACAAAGAGGATAAAAGGTCAGGGAAGAGCACAAGGAGGCAGCAAGGGGCCAAAGCCAGATCTTCACCTGAACCCACACCAGCTAAAGAGGCCATGAATGTGCTGCCAATAGCAATGAGGCGGGAGAAGCTGAAAGTGGCCTGGGGATCTCAAACTCCTCTCACTCTGGAGATTCAGGTAAAAGCTCAAGGAGAGGCTTTGCCAAAATCTCACTTCAAGCCGAGGATCAAGCCCACGCGCTCTCACTCCCGCCAAAGACCTGGCTAAGGGAGACCCGTGTGCCAGACCCTTGTGTGGTGAGTGTGGTGCCACCTAGGTGCGCCTTCTTGGGGACAAGGCAAGCCTGGTCCTCATGTCACCCAGAGGTTGAGTCTACCCCAACCAAAAATATGCACACAAGGCTAAGGGACCAATGTCAAATGAAAACCACCACTGACCAGAGACCCAAGCCTACTCCAACCAAATCTTCAGTCGCAGAAAGATGTAAGAGGAAAAAGCCCTGAATTGCCACTGTGAATTTCTAAACTGGAGAGTTTTATTTTTAATTAAAATGAAACAATTCTGAGACTTTTAAAAAATATTCTCAAATTATGAAATAAAAAGTTAACTATCTAAATGGTGACTGGACTGGAATTTCTGGCAAGTCCTCCTGAGCCAACAGAGGGAACAGCATGGCTCAACAGCAGCTGCTCACCTTCAGAAAGGACACAGATTTCACCAGGCCCAGTCCAGAGATCTGCTCCCAAACCAGCACCCCTCCCCATCCCTTTAAAATGATACCTAAATTGAATTTAAGTAAAACCTCCTTTGTCAGTACGTCTAAACCTTCAGCAGTAGAAACAACTAAATCCAAACAGAACCCAACCTGGCCCACCTCACACAGAGAAAACAAACAGGAAGCTCCTACCTCACTCTCAACAGACAGCTGAGATCTGATCATGAGTGTTTACGGGGCCAGCGCAGTCTGTGAACTGCCAGAGAAGCCAACAGGGCATTCCCCCTCGGCAGAGCTTGGTATTTCTGAGAAAACCCAAACGATTTCAAATGCAGCTGTTATCATCAGTCCACCAGTGCGGTGCTAGTGAGATGAACGACTTTTCACATTTAACCAAGATACATGCTAGATAAAATGGCATTTCCACTACATGCTCCCTGTCTCTCATCCGCATCCATTCTTCATAGACATTGTCACACATCTCCTTGGCCAGCTGTCTGAGGAAACCCTTCCCCATCCCATCTTGACACTCATCCCATGAAGGATAATTCCCTCCTCCATCCCAGAGATGTACACACCACCCAGAGGAGACTATCACAAGGGCCTTTTTGCAATCCCACCTCTATGACGACCTGTGGCCCAAGACAAACTTTCTCTGGCAATCCACTTTGGAGGAAAAATACGCCTAATAAAAATGATGCCCCTTGTCTATTTCCTTCCACTATCGTCATTCTTAACGCCATGATGACTTCATGCATATTCAAGAACAAACTGAAGCAGATAGTGAGGACCAGTACCCAAGGGAGCAGAGGGCTGAGCAGCTTCAGAATCTTCTAGCAAGCTCTTTGGTAGTTTAGATTCTTAAAAACGTCAGTAAACTCCTACAATAATTTCGGTAAACTCCTACAATAATTTTGACTTTGCAGTCCATTCAGACTTGGTCAGAACTATTGAACTTTGACTCGGCAGCAGAAAAACAGCTAAGACAGGAAGTAAACAACCATGTTTACAAAAACAAGTAGCTTGCCAGCAGACAGGGACTTTAGAAGCTGATGGAAGTTTCTCGACAGGTAGACTCACGTAGCTACAGCAGCCCACAGACAGGAAGGAGAAACAGGACTCACCTTGATGAACACGGCTGCAACCACAGCCAAGCACGCGACCAGCAGCGTCAGCAGCCCAGCTCTGTTGAACTGCTTCAGCAGGAAGAACTTGGCCCAGCCGAGCTTGGACTGGCTGTTGGGAGGGTACCTGAGCTTGTTGGCACTCTCTCCCTTTAATCCTTTCAACAAACAGGGGCGCTGATGAGAAAAGGTGTCAAAACTGTATTTCCCATGATAAGCCCCCATTCCGCTGGCACCTGAAACAAAGGGAACAGATGAAACAAATTTCAGTGTAGGTGCTTCCTATTTCAGCACTGACGGAGAAAGCCTGAGCCTGCTGCTTGGGGTGTAGAAACCCAACTGATTTGCTTTTCTTGTTTTTTCTCAAAAATCTTTTCTCAAGTTGGTCCCCTAGCACAGTCATCGCCCTCTCAGCCTGGATGCTTTCGATGAACAGAGACAGGATCTGCAGCCCTTCTCGGGTCCTTTACATCACAAGTGTGCTAGCAGTTTCAGTGAGCTCTGTGGGGGACGCCTACTCCAGCCCTGCAGTGGTCTGTACCTCCAACCCAGCTTCCAGACAGGAAAAAACAGTTTACGGAACTAGCTGATCTGCCTAAAGTCACATGTCTGTTAAAGGAGGAAACTGAAGTGTGAACCCAGATTAGCATGATGCTAAACGCTATGTGTGTGCTTTCTATGTGTGTGCTTTCTCTATCAGTCCACATGGCCTTTTAATCCATGACTTCTCTCACTTGCTTCCTCTAAGTCCTTGAAGAGCAGCCAAGAACAGGGTAACAAGGTTGGACAGATAGGTAAGAACAGCAAGTAAAAACCCCTGCCTTCCTGGAAGTCACACTTGCATAACCACAATGCATACAACAGACTGGTGAGTGGCGACGACAGGTGCAATGCAATGACAGAAGGCAGAACGACTGGAAGCCAGGGACAGCTGGATGAGGTCAGGCCACAGCTGACTTAGCTGTTCTGATGGAAGGGGTCACTTCAGAAGGCAAGATCGACTCATTGGGAAGACAATGAAGCCAGAGAGAAAACACCAGGACAGTGAGGGGGGAGAGGAGAGGGCCAGCTATAGACACGACCATAGTGGGAAGGACCCAGCAGAAAGGGGCAGATGGTGTCCACAATGCTTCCCCAAGAACAAAATGCCTTTGGCCCAACCTCCGTAGAACAGGGGACCCAGCCTGACTGCAGAAGTCACAGCAATACTGGCCACTGTGACGGTCGGACTTACCCACACCTCCAAAGGGCAAAGAATTGACAGTGAAGTGCATGATGACATCATTGCCTGTGACCCCACCGCTGGAGGTTTCCTCGATCACCCGTTTGATGAGCTGAGGACCAGACCAAAGGCACCCAGGTCAGAGCTAATGTCCTGTCACCCTGTGTCTTTGAGTGCACTCCCTGTGGGCTCTAAGGACATGCATCCTGGCTTTGTGTGCTGGTGCAAGTTTTTAAGTTTGAGGAGACATAAAATTCATGCCAAAAATTACTAAAAATATTGTATAAAATTACCTTCAGGCTTTGTATATATTGCCTCATGAAACACAGAAGATGCTTAAACTTGGGTCCCAACTCCAAGACAGGCAAATATTTTATAGGCAAATATTCTAAAATCTAAAAAATATCTACAGTCAAGCTGGGTGGTAGACAGCACATACTTGAATCTCTGCATTTGAGAAACTGGAGCAGGCAGAGTATGAGTTTAAGGTCAGCCTAGATACACAGTGATATTGCCTTTAAAAAATCTGAAATGTTAAACACTTCTAGTCCCCCGCATATCAGTGTGTAGATAAAGAGGGGTGGCCCTGAACCTTTGGGTCTGTTTCCTTGATCACCACCAAGATCTATACTCCGAAGCAGTACCAACAAGAGACAGTTTAGAAATCACTACTTCTCTCAAGGTGGTATTGACCAGAAGCCTTCTGCCCTGCTGTATAGCTTTTACAGTACCAGGAGGTGCAACACACACTGCTGGGGGAGGGGTGGAGGGAATCTACCCAGCTCTGAACGCAGTGATTGCAATAATGACCACAAGATATGCTTGTTGGTGTAATACTGGCATGGATGTTACGGGGGTACCAACCACTTTCTGAAGGAGGAAATATGCCTACAAGAATTCATGGCTGGGGAGCTCAGAGGCCTTACTGATGAACATACTACTAGTATCTTGTTAAATGGACTTAGTATCAAACCACCCTCTATGCTTACAATTTCTATATCCATAGGCTAATACGCTTCTCAGACCTCATTAGAGGTTTCTTTGTGCAGTGGACAGCAGTTAGCACGGAAACTCTCACTGGTCAAAGTAAAGGGAGTGTTTGCCTACAGCATGCTCCGTCTCAGATGGGACATTTCCATCACACTCCTCCTGAGGCTGAGGACTGGCAGGAGGGAGCGAGAAGACTGTAGGAGTCAGAGGATGGGAGGAGGAAAACAGTCTTCAGAAAGACTGCCGTGCTCCTGGGCTCGAGACAGCTATGGGCGACCGCAGACGGCAAACCAGTCACTACTCCAGCATGGGCAGGAGAGGGCCTCCTGAGCCCTACACCACAATTGAAGAGACACTGGCAGTTCAACAGCTCCTGGGAGAGGGAGAGGCAGTTTCCTTACAGGTATGCCCCTCGAATCTCAACCATGCTCTAGTGGATGACCCCACACCCTTGAGTAAGCAGGAAATTAGAACTAGGGAAAGACTGGGGAGTGACCGTGACCAAAATACATTGTAGATGCACATCAAAGTCTTGCAGTAAATAAAAATAGTATATTAAAATTATCATTTCGCAGCTGGGTGGTGGTGGTGCACGCCTCTAATGCAAGCACTTGGGAGGCAGAGGCAGGTAGATCTCTGAGTTTAAGTCTAACCTGTTCTACAGAGTGAGTTCTAGAATAGCCAGGGCTATACAGAGAAACCCTGTCTTAAAAAACAAAACAACAAAAAGTTTCTTCTCAATCCCTGATCTAATAAATTATAACATATGATTAACAGGTATGAAATGCAAAAAAGTTAGAATTATCCTATTTTTGAGGAAATAAACAGCTAGTTGGCCTAAGATCAGAAAAGCCTCAATGATACTGAGCTAACAAACGTCATTTCACTTAGGTACTAAGAAGCCTTGGGAACTCGGGGTGGATGTCGAATGGGCCTGCAGTGACCACAGGGAAAGAGCTGCCCACCGAGCTGCACGCTGCTAGTGGACTCTACTGAACCATGCAGGTTCATCTCATTTCGAGTGTCTGGAGGTATGCGAACTTCACGGTGCTGCCAGCTCCGGAAGCCACCACGCGACTACAGCACCTCCTCCGCACACCGGCTGGTCCCTTCTTCCTCTTCCTCATTTTCAGCTTTCCAGATGGACCCTGAACCTATCTGTGCATGTGGAGCCATCATCTGCTAAGAGCTGCAAGTCACCTAGCGACACAAAGGACAGGCACCCAGAAAGAGGCTGCAGAGCTGCTACCCTTTGGGAGCCTGAAGCCCAAGTTCTCAGGACCATCTTTACCGTGTGCAGAGGGCTCTGACTTCTCCAGCCCCGTCTGAGTGCCTATGAAGGTCACTTGAATCACAGGGGCAGGCTCTATGGATTCATGCCACAAAGAGCACTACATGCTAGTACATGGAAGAGTTCTCATTATTCAGGAGGTGTCTGTTATTCAAAAGCCTGTGACGTTCATCCCTGTGAACTCAGCTCTAACTCCAGGGAGGAAGGGGAGAGGTACAGAGATAACCAAGGCTCCATTCCCCAAGAAAGCTATGAATACAGCCGGTCAACTTCGATATATAAATGAGCCACCTATGCTTTATAGCGATAAAGAAATCTGGCTCCTGAGAATGAACTATTCTCTACAAAGCTTACCTTATTGTTATGAGAAAACACATAGAGCGCCAGGGGCTTTTCACGATCATTTATGAAATTAATGGCTTCATCTACATTTTTCACAGACACTATTGGGAGAATTGGTCCAAAAATTTCTTCCTGCATCACCTTGGAATTAGGATCAACATCAGTAAGTACGGTTGGGGCTAAAAAATAAAATTAAATAAAATAACATGAGTGGTCAAGTTGAACACAGGAAGAAAAGCAACATTCTCATCTTCTCTTCATTTCCCGGAGACAGCCACCCACTAGGCACCCCTACTGGTTTGTCCTCTCAGTGCGCCAGGCTTAGCTATGGTTCACAGCAACCGTTCCTCCCCCCAAAATCTGCTTCCAAATCCACTGTCAAACTCAGGGAGAAGTTCTACCTAGACCAAGCTAATCTCGACAGTTCTTCCTTCATTTTGTCTTTGACTGGCCTAGAAATGGATCACGCTGCCACCTAGGAGGTGGGAAGAGCAGCAAGACAAAAGAATTGGGATTTTTGTTTTGTTGAACAATTACTGAAACATCCAACCAAAGAGAATCTCTATGAATTTCTAATTATTTGTATCCTTTTAAGTTTTTTTTTTTTAACAACTGATGAGAAAAGATACGTAAATTAATTTGGGAGCAGTTTCTTTTTTTAAAAGATTTATTTATTATTATGTACAGTGTTCTGTCTGCATGTCTGCTATCTGCCAGAAGAGGGCGCCAGATCTCACTACAGATGGCAGTGAGAGGAAACCCTTTCCACCTCTGGATGCTTTATCACAGCAACAGAAAATTAAGATACTGTGTGGTACCTGTATGCATGTGTGTGCGAGCGCACGCGCGCGCTCGCACACACACACACACTCAATAATAAATAGAATAAGTATTAAAGGTGCGTGCGTACATACACTAAAAAACAGTACACGGAAAAGCAATATTTAGTTTATGTAGGATCAGTAAATGCTGGTAAAAATGTCAAACTATCTTCCCACAGGAAAGGCGAATTTCCTTACCTATGTAGCGTGTGACTTCATCAGTCTCCCCGCCAAAAGCTATTTTCTGTCCTTCAAGCAATCCTTGTAACCTCTTAAAGTGACGAAGATTGATGATCCTTTCATAATCAGGAGACTCTTTTATATTTTCCCCGTAGAAGTCCTATTGAGAGCAACAAGAGTCACTTAACTGTCACAAAACCCACACTTCAATTCCTTTCTGGTGCTCAATTATCAAAAAAATGATCTCAGCAAGGTGGCTACTAGTCTCCGTACCACTGAACTCAGCACCCTGGTCAAACACGGTCTGACAAGGAAAATCCCACATCTCTTCAAGCCTTAGCTTATTACCAGACACAGTCTTCCTTAGTTCCTTTATGTACCCTAAACGATGGAGAACCTGCTCCAGCAACAGTTCTCAACCTGTGGGCCACAACCCCTTCACAAGGGTCGAATATCAGATAGTCTGTATATCAGAGATTTACATTATGATTCATAGCATTAGCAAAATCACAGTTATGAAGTAGTAATGAAAATAATTTTATGGTTGGCAGTCACCACAACCCGTGGAACTGTATTAAAGGGTAGCATTAGGAAGGCTGAGAACCGCTGCTCTACAGGGCGCACTTTAAGTAGGTAATTACTTCACGCCTTCAAACTATTAGTCATCTGGCCCTCTACACACACGACAACTGATAACCTTCTCCAGCGAGAATCAACATGCCAAAGGGCTCTCTTCAAGTAATTTGGGAACATTGTCACAAAACCACAGAAAACATTTTGACTTTTAAGTATATGCCTCAACTAATCAACTACACCATTTAAGCGGACTTGCATCAACTTGGGCCTTGTTCCCACAGATGCAGAGTGTGTTTTTTGTTTGTTTTGTTTTTTTGATTTTCTAAGACAAGGTCTCTCTGTAGCTTTGGAGCCGGTCCTGGAACTAACTCTTGTAGTCCAGGCTGGCCTTGAATTCACAGAGATCCACCGGCCTCTGCCTCCAGAGTGCTCGGATTAAAGGCGTGCGCCACCACTGCCCGGCTGCACAGAGTGCTTTAATTAGCCAGTTAGTTCAGTCACATATGTTACTGGGATTATCTGGGTTGGGGGTAAAAGTGAACAGAGATGCTGTCTGAAAGCATTCTTTCATCTGTGGAACCAGAACTGCAGAACACAGACCTTCACCGTCTCCTTAATCTTCTGTACGATCTGATCCTGGAGCGAAGCTTCACAGAGGACATAGTCTGGAGCTATGCAGGTTTGACCACAGTTCATGTACTTTCCCCAGGTTATGCGTCTGGAGAAAAAAAAAAACAAAACCCAAACCAGAATACCTATGCAATTCAGTCATCTTTTCATAGTCACCTGTTTCCCAATGTATTAGGTACTTTGCATATTGCTATGGTAAAACATCTGGCAGCAGCAACTGAAGAAAGGAAGGGGTGATTTTGGCTCACAGTTGAAGGGTGCTACATCGCGGAGGAAGGAGGTCATGGCAGCAGGACCATGACACTGCGGTCACATGGCACCACAGCCAGGGAGGAGAGAGCAACCAATACTTATGCTCAGTTTGCCTTTTTTTTTTCCACCAAGAACTCAGGTTTAGGGTGGGTCTTCCCACCTCACTTAACCTAATCTAGACAAATCCCTCACAGACTTGTCTACAGAGTTGTTTTCATAGTGCTTCTAAATGCCATCAAGTTAATGACAAAGATTAACCATCATGCCAATCATACGGCTTTGTATATTTAGTAATTGTCAAAAACAAAAGAAACGAAAACTCTGAACTGTAGATCATCTGGTTACAACTTAGAATACATTTCCAGATTTCTTTTCAATTTGGGGTGTGTGTGTGTGTGTGTGCACACATATGAACGTGCATGCCATGGTGTGTAGGGGGAGGCAGAAAACAACATTTTGGGATTTTGGGAGCTGGTCCTTTCTGCCTTGCTTAGGTGGGGTCTCTCTTCTGTGTGCTCGCTGCACACTCAAGCCTCCCATCTACTCAGACTCTGGCTTTTTTTTTTTTTTTTTTGGTTTTGGTTTTCTGAAACAGGGTTTCACTGTGTAACCTTGGCTGTCCTAGAACACACTAAGTAGACCAGGCTGCTGGCCTCAAACTGAGAGAGATCCACTTGCCTCTGTCTCCCAAGTGCTGGGATTAAAGGCATGCACCTCCACCTCCTAGCTAGAATCTGACTTTTTAACACGGATTCCAGGTATCAAACTCAGACTGTCAGATTTGTGCATCGAGTACTTTTACCACTGAACCACGCCACCAGCCTTAGCGCACATTTTCAACTGAGGTAAAATATTCTAAGTAGCAAGAAAATTCTCAGAGCCGGCCTGGTAAACAGTCAAGCTATCAAGACACAGCCTGCAGAGAATGGGCAGAGCTTCCCAACACTCCTTCCTATCTGAGCCAGCCAAAGGTCACTCTGGATGCCGAGCACACAATTCAGACTCTGGCTCTCCCAGGCTGTAGTACTGTTGACAGGCTGTGTGGGTATAAAGAGGGCACAACCAACATCCTCTACCATGCTCCTCTGTGTGGATCCTTCCCCTTTCTACATACAGACAAAGCCCACAACCTCAGCATTCGCAGCTGGTCTCTTTTTCTGGAAGTCACGCTCTATTTAAAGAGGCCAAGCAGCAACACTGACCCACCTCCCCACCACAACTCTGAAGCCACGCTACCCAGAGCGTATTTGCTTCCTAGTCGTCAAACCTATCTTAGTAAAGAGCTCTTATTTTCTTGTTCCCAGCTGCAAAATGCTATTAAAATATCTCTCATACTGTTCTGTGAACAAAGAATCTGAGCTAAGCAAAAACAACACCCTCTCAACTGAGCGTGTTTATTCATACACACAACCCTTTGGATTAGCATTCTTCAGCTGGCAAGAGATTAAAATTTTTTATCACAGGTTTGGGGCGTAGCTTAAAGTGGATCACAGGCTTGCCATGATTTGAATCCAACACCGGAAAAGAAAAAAAACCTGGGAAAATTTCTCTCCAGGTTTATCCATAAGAATATTTCCAAACTTCGTGAGGAAACTACATGCTAGCAGGGCCTATGTGTGGCTCCCTATTCCAGCAGTGGCACCAGAAGACAGTTTGAGAGGCTCCAGCTACTTTTGGGCACACCAACCACTAAAGTTGATGAACCTTGAAGCCATAAGTCATGAGGTTCACGTGTAAAGGAAAACAGCCATTAGAAAAAACTTCCATCTGCTGGGGGGAACCTCAGGAAAGCAAAGCCAGCCCCACCTGCAAGCGATGTCCAGATCACAGTCTCTGTCAATGTAACATGGGCTTTTCCCCCCGAGTTCCAGGGTCACAGGGGTCAGGTGCTTGGCAGCAGCTTCCATGACAATCTTTCCCACCGCGGTGTTGCCTGTGTAGAGAATGTGATCGAACCGCTGCTTCAGGAGCTCTGTGGTCTCCGCAACACCACCATTAAGAACCGCATACAGGTCCTCAAAGAAAGAGAAACAGATTCTTGCACCATCGAATTAATCTTAAGGCCTCACGTCAGCAATTCTTCAACACTGATAAGCAGCAGTCAGGAAAACCAAAAGATCAAGATCATCTCCTGCGAGGGGCAGATCAGGAGGTGGCCCAAGACAGAGGGAGGAGATGGATTTGAACCATCAACCTACACAAGCCTCAGAGTCCAATATTTTCTACCTGAGCTTGGCAACGAAAGCACAAAGGAGAGCAAAGAGTTGGATTCCACAGGGGAAATGTGCAAGATGCGGGGAGGGGATGGTGAGGTTCTTTCGCTGCTGTTCCGTTGTGTTTTGCACAGTGCTGGGGATCCAACCCAGGGCCTTGTACACATTAGGTCAGCGTTCTACCTCCTGAGCTGCATCTCCAGCCCTGCAGTTCATGTCTTAATCCCAATGTTCTCTCTCTGTCCAGTACAAAGTACAGCAGGGCTAAGGCCAAGGTACCTAAGTCCATATCTGCCCAATGAACTGGACCCAGAGCATCACAGCTGACGGCACTTACTTTTGAAGTGGATCTGGATTGAAGGGAGGCTCTGCCACTCACTAGCATCTGTGGCTTTAGGCAAGCTGCCAGACCTTAGGCAATCTCTGAACTTGTTACTGGGAAAAGTTACATAACATCTGTACAACACCCATCCCATCACAGGCACTGTGCTGCCTTTAGAAAATACTTTTAGTAATAACAGCAAGGGCAGAAAGTAGTGGCTGAGATGAAGTGGCAAGGAAATTGTGATTTGCATGCGAGCGGCTAAGCTGTAGGATGGATTAGCGGGCGTATCAACCTCTGGTCAGCATTTGATCGCTTGCTCATTAGAAGGCTAATTAGTTCCTAGTCACTTTACAGTTCAACTGATTCACGTACTTTAAATTTTAATTTTTCTGTGCTTTAATCCACAGGTAAGTTAATCCACCAGACAACTGAAGCAGGTACATTATCATCCTCCCCATTTGGACCATCAACTATTAAAGAATTTACACCTGGGAGGGACAAATCGAGACCTTAATCCTCTACTTTCTGGTTCCAAGTCCTACTGAATCCATGACACTCACTCTCTTCCATTTAGACTGGATAACCAAGCTACTAGAACCAATTGTTCTGGGAGCTAAGATGACAGTGTAAGACAATAAAGAGCTCTAAGAGCTAGAGCTGGTCACGGGGACACTACAAATCGAGAAACATAACACAAAAATCGGGTGCTTTAAAGCTGCCGTTTGATGAAAGCTACATGAATAATTTCCCCTGCAAAACTGCCCATGGAACCCAGCAGCCACAAAGCAATCAACTTCCTCTCTAGAGGTCACGGGAACTTCTGGATCTGATCCCCTACCGAAAAGCTGGGATCTCACGCTCCCTAGTCAGCCTTTGTTTGATGCTCCTCAGTGCCTACACGCTAGTCAACTCAGAGTGCTGGTTCAGGAAGGCACTTTCTTCCAGCCACAAGCATGCCTTTAAAAAGCAAGAGTACTCATGTAATAACATACATGATGTTCTATTAGGAAAATGGACAGTGACAGAAACGTGTTAGCCTCTCATCAATAAGTTCACTACATGAACGATGTCTAAAATTGTATCCTTGGAAGTGCCAGATGGTAGAAAAGAGACACATATAAAGTCACAGCCTCAATACACTGTACAACCATAGTTGCTGGGTCACTCTACAGTGAATTTTGCAACCTGGCTTCCTTTGTTGGAGACTTAAGGAAGCCCCACTGATCTGCAGCCAGCAAAGACATCACTGGCAGAAGAGTCAAATCTGTGTTTTCCACCATAAACAGATGTGTTAAAGATGGACCAAGATATTCTTACCTGGTCTAAATACTGCGGAAGGAGTTTAGCCAAGAGTTTAGCCGTGTTTTCACTTAGTTCTGAAGGCTTAACAATCGCAGCATTTCCTGAATAAAGGGGATAGCAGAACATCATCATCCAATATTAGGGTAACTTTAATGGCTACCAAAGCGATACTCATGCAGGGCACAGGCTGTTTCGTGTATTTCTGCAGCTCTTAAGTCTGTTCTTCCTCACATCGTGTGTCCTCTTTCTTTCATGTCTTCCTTCCCAAGCGCTAACCGTTCACTCTCACATCTCCAAGCCACCGACAACAGACTCTCTAGCTTCCCACACTCCCCAGATTTCTATCTCTTTCTCTGCACTTCTACCATGGTTCTCTCTCTGCCCCAGAATCACTGAGCAAACAGGTTATATCAACCAGAGCTTTCAAAGTAAAAAAATCAGTCTGTTGAGATTTGCTGTACACTTGAGCTAACATTACACCATTATTTGAATAAAGAAACCGGTCAAATGAAACTAAATGTTTTTTTTTTTTCTAAAGGCAGAGCCATCAACAAGAATCACATTAGAATATGGAAGCCTGATTCTGAGATCTTGGGACTACTAACTCAGATGTCTTTGACTCTTAGATTCACTCCCTAGGTACTTTAGCATTCGTAAGTACAAGATACATATGAATGCTCAGTAAGTTGCTGGTGTCAGCCAGGCAAACCACCAAAGCAAATGTATTTAACTACACACCATCCTTAACACCATCCTTACAACCAACATGACACAGTTAGACCCTCGAGACAGGAATAAAGCCATCAGCGGGCACCAGACCTGCAGCGATGGCTCCCACCAGAGGCTGCATGATAAGAACAAAAGGGTAGTTCCAAGCTCCAATAATCAATACGACTCCCAGAGGCTCTGGCTGAACATAGGCCTCATCCAACAAGGTAAGCAGATTCTTCTTAGCTGGTTTAGCAGAAGCCAATTCAGGAAGATTTGCGAGCATAAAATCAATTTCCCCAAGGATGGTAATGACTTCATGACTGTAGGCATTGAGTTCGCTCTGGAAAAGAAAACCAGTCACTTTTACACAAAGAGTACAGTATAATTTGCTAAGGACAAGGGTCCTCGACCTGTGGTCACGACTCACACAGGTGCCACACATCAGCTAACCTGCATATCAGATATTTACATTATGATTTATAACAGTAGCAAAATTTCGTTTATGAAGTAATAGTGAAACAATTTTATGGTTGGGTCACCACAACATGAGGAACTGTACTGAAAGACCGCAGCCTTAGGAGGGTGGAGAACCACTGGCTTAGGATGTCACATGACTCAGACCCAGTGTATCTGCAGTGATAACTGGTGTTACTAGACATCCCCCCCCCAGTTTGCTATCCGATTTTTTTTTTTAACCCTCCAAGTTCTCAATAAGACACACCCTGGATACTCGTCCTGGCTTTTCCCCTCTAAGATAGCCAATGCCTCTGAAAAAATTATCCCTTAGCAGCCGGCGAGATGGCTCAGAGGTTAAGAGCGCCTAATGGGACCCGGGTTCAAGTCCCGCCTGGCTCGCAGCTAGCTAAGCGATCAATAAATCACTATCAAAAATCGGGAAAAAAATTATCTCTTTCAGCAACGCCTCCCTGATTAATAGCAGCCTTCCTCAGTCACAATTTAGGTACCATGGCAAGTCTGCTTCTGAGCTGTATCTTAATACTTCATCCTTAGCACACTGGTTTGTAACCATATTCACACTTTATCTATATCTGTTCTACTTCACAGCCTGGCTTAAAATTCTGGACTTACTGTATTTCTTCAGTAACCCTGTGTATGTACAAACACACACAAAATAGCTGATGCTTGCAGAATGGATGACTCATAGGGCTTTAATATTCATTATCTTATCTTTGCTTACTACCACAGCCCCTCTTAACCAAAGTACTCTGAAGGAAGGCTTGTAGCTACCACTCTCATTACTACTACAGCAGTTACCACTTTTTGCAATAGTCTTTGGGGAAGGGTGGATTGTAAATCTAAAAATAAAGGTCATACTATGCCTAGAATACAGATAGAAAGTAAGAAGAAAAAACTATTACTAGAGAGTACAGGCGAATGTAGTTATACCTCCAACACTACTTAAAACCTTGGTACCCAAAGCTTGCTTCTAAAGAGGCCATGTGATATCACCTGGGACCTCATTAGAAATCTCAGATGGACTGAATCAAGATTTGTATTTTAAAAGTCCCCGGAGTGATTGTCAGTGTTTAAGCAACACATATCTAATGATACACAAAGTCATGAAGGAAAATATTGAGTGTTGAAGATTACTTAAAAAACAATATTGTCTACAAGAAGAACCCATTTAAAGAAAAAGTTAAGAAATAAGACAGCGAGTGAAATATCTGAACTTGACCAAGTGAACAAACTACTGACACTCAGAATACCCAGAGAGTTAAGGGCACATTGTAAGGAAAGAGACTATAAATGCAGTAGAAATGGGCAAGCCTATAAAGAGCCTTCGCAGAAGAGAAACTGCGAGCACCAGGTAAAGCAAACACTTCATCGTAAGTGCAAACACAACGTTTAGGGCTCTAAGCAGAGCTGGAGTCCGGAGTAACTCTGCTGCCTCTTCACTGCTGGATTAACAAAACAACCTGCTACAGCACAGGAATAAGGGGACACGCCCGGTCCCTCCCACCCCGCGGACGCTCACCTTGCACAGGTCCGCCGCGATGGCTGCCAAGATGTCCTTCTCGCGCTCCTGCACCATCCTCCGCAGGGCCTCGAGCTGCTGCTGTCGGAAGCGCAGCGGTCGCGATCGGCCGGACCGGAACGCCTGGCGAAGTCGCTGGACCTGACGCTCCATGGCCTGGCACCTGAGATCGCGGAGCAAGGCAGGTGTGTCCGCACAGTCCTGGCGACGCGCGGACTGGGCTCACCCTCGTCACCCGCCTACCGGCCCAGACCAGGCCTCCAGGTAAGCCAACCCCCACGATTCCGCCGCTAACGACGCGATGCGCGCTCATTGGCCGGGCCACCGCACGTGACTGAGAGGCCCCGCCCCCGACCACTGTCAGAGCCGCTGAACTCGGGTCCACAGGCGCCCGGAGAGGGCGTGTGTCTTGTGGCCGGCGGGCGCGGAAGGAGGGCTCTGGCTTCAGAGAAGGGCGGAATGTCCTCTCGGAGGAGGAACTGAGGCCCCGGGGGCGTGCTCGCCAGGCCGCCTGCAGTCTCCTTTGGCCCGTGTCAGAAGCAAAGTCTCGGGCGGGATGCGGGGGAGGAGCGAGCCAAGCGGCCCGGCCTGGGTGACGCGATGCAGCGAAGAAGGACCCAGTGTACACACGCCAGCTTTGTCATCGCTGGTTTTTAATTCTCCAGTGTTTCTGTTCCCCTGTCTGGCAGAACTGCTCCAGAAAGGGAACCTACACCCAGGTTTCCCCAAATTTCCTCTCCAGACTAATTAGCAATGGTGGACATCCGGACTCGTCTGAAGCTGCACAGCAGTGGTGGCCATTCAGGATTGTCCTTCCCATCTTCTGGAATGACTAAATGTTGTTCTCTGTTTAGACTTAGAATGGGCGTCTTCCTTACCGTTAAATTCATTAGAACGTTTGATTTATTCTTCATCAAACAAACTTTCTTCAGTGTTCCCTATCTCTTTAACCTTAACTTCAGAATATATGTTGAATCCAATAATTAATGGTTCAAACCATAATATATATATATATTTGCTTGGATATTATATCATATAATATATATGATATATATCATATAATATATATGATATATTTGCTTGGATAATGTTACTTCTTAATCCTACACTACTCTGTACTTCAGGGGCCCATAGGAGGTTCTCCTCCCTTCTCAACCCCCCAGGAAGTCCTACCGGAAGGAAGGACCACCAGAAAAATCAAAATTTCTGTTTCTCTTTGTATTCAGTACTAGGGCACATGCTGGCATGTCTATGGTGGAAGGAGAGATAGTGTATTCCTGCCTCCGGGAGTGATGAGCTCCGACTGAGAACCTTTCGATCTGCTCTTGGTCTTTGATACCACCGCGTTCTTCCTTCTGCTGGTGTTTACTTCCGCCTGGTGTTTACTTCCGCCTGCGTGAAATAACTGGGCTGGTTTCTCTCTTCTGACTGCAAAGTTTTGCCATTTCCTGTTCCTCACCAAGCTATCACTGACATTTTCAGAACCTTTGCAGACCTCTATGAGTCCCGTGCTCAAATCTCTCCAGCAGGTTCCTGTCACACTGAGAATAAAAGTCAAAGCTCAAGCCATCCTCTGTAAACCCTGTATGTCCTGCCCTCTGGGTGCGCCTCTTCTCACCCACACACTGAGTTCAAGCCAGAGTGGCTTCCTTGCTGCTCACTGAACACTTGAACACATTCCCTTCCCAGCGGTTTTTGGCACTCTGTGTCCTTTGTCTGGAGCGCCCAGCTAGCTTTCTCAATCGCGGAGTTTTCACAACAGCCTGTGAGTTGAGTTATCTGAGGCGCTTCTTGGTGAAGCAAGACATTAGGCAAGGCCACCCCACTGTCTCCAGACCTCTGCTTTGCCCTTGCTTCAAAACAAACAGCAAAACATTCTGTTTGGAGGTTTCCGTGGCTGAAACTGGAGGACTGCAGCTGAGAAAGTGTAGGAGGAGCAGGCTCCTAATGTTACAAAACAGATCAGTAGACTCCATACACACCCCAGTATTACCTGTGTGTAGCAAGCCACAGTCCAAGGTCAGTATCTAGTACTGTGTTGCAATATTGAAATTAGCTCGAAGTTCACCACAGGAGAATGCTTGGTTACCTTTTTTTTTTTTAAATCTGATCGGAGAGTGACCAATTTTAAACTCTTGAGTGCCCAACCACTGAAAGATGAGTCTTTACTATCTCTTAAATACTTTGTATATTGAAGAAACCAAATGTCTTAGGGTTTCTATTGCTATGATAACACCATGGCCAAAAGCAACTTGGGGAAGAAAGGGTTTATTTCAGCTTACAGTTCCACATCACAATTCATCAGTGAGGGAAGAAAGGGCAGGAACTCGAACAGGGCAGGAACCTGGAGACAGAAACTGATGGCAGAAGCAATGGAGGAGTGCTGCTTACTGGCTTGTTCCTCAAGGCTTGCGCAGCCTACCTTTCTATGGGACCCAGGAGGAGTGACATCACCCACAGTGAGCTGGGTCCCCTCCATCAGTCATCAGTTAAGATGATTGCCCACACGTGAAGCTGGTGGGGACATTTTTCTCAACTGAAGTTCATTCTTTCCAAGTGACTCTGGCTGCTGTCAAGTTGACATAAAATAGCCAGGATAGCAATTGAGAGCATTTTGTTGAATATATTTAAAAAACATATCCAAATACTCCCAACAAAACAGTATAGCTATGGAACTGAAAAGGGACTAGAATTATATGTATTCCCAACCGAAACAGTCTCCCTTCTAGTTTTTGAATATCAAATATTCATTGACTTAAATGACTAAGGACCAGGATTAGGGGTGTGGAGTAGCTCCCCACAAACTTCTTCCATGAAAGATAGCAAGTTGGCAATTTAAGAAGGCCCTCCCTTTTCAGTTAAAACATACTTTATTGAGGGTGACTCATTTACTGCCCCTCCCCACCACAACCTCAGAGCTTCTTCAGGACAGAAATCCATCCTCAGCACATAGATTACATCAGCCATGTGCTGGTGGCCCAAACCTACCCAGACACTCCCCTTGAACCTTTGTTAAGAGTCTCATGAAAGAGGCATGAAGTGCATCTGACCCTAGAGCACACTGTGGCTAATTTTTTGACAACCAAAGGAAATGAATCCCTGAGAATAAAGTTGGTGCTGAAGAAAGCAGAGCTCGGAAGGAGTGGCTTAGTAAGATTGTACTGAACAACGAACGAGCTTGAAGCTTAAAGCACATTTTTCTGTTCTCATCAGTTCATGAGCTGATGAACTTCCAAATCGTATGGACCCCAAGTTTGAATTGTCACTTGTTATAATAATAAACTTGCCCTCAGATTAACACCAGTATAGGTCGGGAAGAATTCAAACATCTTAAAAGTTGATATGATATTCTTTTTCTGTCTATAGGAATTAGACAGTTTGACAGCTGAAATTGCTGACGATTTCTAAGCTGTAGATATATTCCTGCAGAGAAATGGGTCCTGAGCAAATCACACCCAGCTTCCTAGGACATGGAAATAGAGCCCCAAAGGAGGAAGAGAGCCTTGGGCACACAGATGCACACTCAGCCCTCAGAGGTTAGGGCAATTCAACTCTATTTACCTGCCCTTGAAATTTTTCTCTGCCAGAAACTGAGAGAATGGGAATACACTATTTTTGTAACAAAGATTTTATTTTATTATTAAATATATACAAATTCTTACAAAGTTAACCTATGGGGCTGGAGAGATGGTTCAGAGGTTAAGAGCACTTACTGCTCTTCCAGAGGTCCTGAGTTCAATTCCCAGCAACCACATGGTGGCTCACAATCATCTGTAATGAGATCTGGTGCCCTCTTCTGGCCTGCAGGCATACGTGGAGGCTGAACAATGTATACATAATAAATAAATAAATCTAAAAAAAAAAGTTAACCTATGTATATATCTGTCTTTATTCCTCTACTGAGTTGTTCTACAGAATTTAGATTTTGTAGCCAAATAAATTTTCAATATGTTTATAGCAATTTATAGTCCCCACCAGTCACTTATAGCAGCCTCTCCAGCATTTGGTCCTGTCAGGGTCCTACAATTGCCATCCTAGTTGGTGTATAGTGATACCTCACTGTGGCTTTCAGCTTGCTCTTCGCTGAGGAATAACGAGAGTGAATGCCTTTTCCATTTGCAGGTATTTCTATGGCTGATTCTACAGAGTGAGTTCCAGGACAGGCTCCAAAACTACACAGAGAAACCCTGTTTCACAAAACAAAGCAAAACAGGAACAAATTTTATAGTTGAGTTGCAGAGGCAAGTGGATCCTTGTGTTCGCCTGGACTACAGAGAGAGTTCCAGGACCATCAGACTACACAGAGAAGCCCTATAACCAAAAAGAAAAAAAAATGGGCAAAAATTTAAAAACAAAACCCCACAGATTTTGTGAATAGTGTTGAAGATGCCAGATTCAACTGGAGTCTTAGACACCTTAGATGCCTTTCCGTGCACTCATCATATTCGTTAGCAAATACTAGCTTTGGTACAGCTGTTTGGACCCACATACCAGCAGTAGTGAGGAAAGGGCACACTTGGGTAACGAGAGAAACAAGAGAATCAAGCATTCTACAAAAAAAATTCAGATTGCAGATGGCATAATTTTCATAAACATAATCTTTGAAAACAAGGAAACCCCAAAGGAAGATGATAAGACTGAAGAACAGATAAGACAATAGGGAAGGGGCAGAGTCCTAAAAGTAAGGAAAGGAGCGGAGAGGAACAGCTTAAGAGAGACGAAAGTCAGAGAAGAAACGGAGAGATCAAGTATGCAAGAGGCATTGAAGAGGACATTTAACAAAATAGCTGAAGACAACACTCCACTTCTGTGAAGACACAGAAGTGGTCCCCAGTGGCTGGGGGCATTTGTAGGATGAGGTCTTTTTAAAAAGTTCAGAGTTGCACTCTCGGTAATGAAAAAATTCTGGAGTTGGGTAGTAGTGGGAGCAGATAGCAACTTGGCCAGAATGGGCCACTGAAGTTTACACTTACGATGGATACAAAAGTCTATTTTGTGGTTTATTTGTTTATTTTACTTTGGGTTTTGGTTTTGGAGACAGGCTTTACCTCTGCAGCTCAGACTGACCCAGAGTTTCAAACGGCCCCCCCACCTCTGAGTGCTATAGATTATAAGGCAGAGATGCTACACAGAGCCAAGAAATTTTATCAATAAAAAATGAAATGGTAAATAAAAGCGTAGAAGAAGATTCTTCAATATGGTAAAGGGCCGTTTATAAGAAACTGGGCCTCTAAAGATGGCTCAGTAGTTCCAAAGGA